CAACGGGGGCACAGACGTGCCCTGGGGGGGCCCTGGCCCTGCTGCCCCTCGGGGCACTGTGGGGGGGACAACGGGGGGACCTTCATCCTGAGCAGCCCCTGAGCAGGGCAGTGCTGGTTTGTGCTTGCAGAGGGACCTGCGGGCTCCGGCCCATGGCTGCCGACCACAACTCCCTGCTGCCCGACTACGGCCCCGCGGCCTTGGCCGACGGCACCTCCCGCGTCACGGGGGGCACCGGGGTCCAGCCGGGGGCCTGGCCCGGCATTGCCAGCATCCAGGCCACCTGGAAGAACGGCACGTGGCACATGTGCTCGGGTGTCCTCCTCAGCTCCAAGTGGGTCCTCACGGTCGCCCACTGCTTTATCAGGGCCAGGTGAGGAGGGGCAGGGACAGGGATGTCCCCACAGGTCACAGCACCTCGTGCTGCTCCAGTCCTGGCTCTTTCCTCTCTGCTTCCCTCTCTGCCTTGGGAAGCAGAAGGCTGGGAAGCAGCCACAGCCCATGGCTCTGCTCTCCTCTTACCCCTCTCTCCTCCTCCTCCCCAGCGATGTCTACCGGTGGGATGTGGTGATTGGGGCCACAGATCTGACTCAGCCGGGCCCCGAGGCCGAGGTGAGGCACATCCAGAGGCTCCTGCTGCACCAGCACTATGTGGCTGCCAAGGCATGGAATGACATTGCCCTGCTGGAGCTGGACCAGCCCGTGGAGTGCAGCGACTCCATCCAGCTGGGCTGTGTGCCCGATGCCTCACTGAGGGTCTCGGAGCTCAAATCCTGCTACATCGCCGGATGGAGTTTCGGCAAACCTGGAAGTGAGGCCCAACAAGGACATGTGCCCTGAGGGTGCCCAAGGGACATGGGCTGGGCATCTGGGGACATGGGCTGGGCATCTGGGGACATGGGCTGGGCACAGCCACACTCCAGCTGTGGCAGCAGGGTCAGGTCTTGGAGCAGCCTGGGCTGGGGGAAGGGGTCCCTGACCAGAGCTGGGAGTGGCACTGGATGAGCTTTAAGGTCCCTTCCACCCAAACCACTCTGTGACTCTCTGAAGAGACCCCCAGGCAGGGGAGGGGACTGGCACTGAGCTGATGGGGTCTCATTCCTCTCTGTTCCTACATCTCCTGGAGCAGATGTGGTGCTGCAGGAGGCCAAGGTCCACCTGATGGACACAGAGCTCTGTAACAGCAGCCGGTGGTACGCGGGGGCCGTGCACCCCGAAAACCTGTGCGCTGGGTACCCGCGGGGCGGCATCGACACCTGCCAGGTGGGAGCGTGGCACCAGCCCCTCAGCCCCGGCAGCACAGGGA